CCATTAAGAAGAAACTCAATTAAATTGACTGGAAATGCAATTAAGTGCGCTCGCATTTCGTAGACATATTTCAGTTTAAAATTTGATCTTAATTGAATGCAGTCTTTGTTGCATGCTCCATAAGCATGGCATGATCGGTGGGGCTAACCAAAAAAATAAACTATAAATATATAGATATACATTTTTTAGGCCAGTTCTAGAGGGTGTAGGCTGTAGCTCTAGACAAAGGAAAGTTATTGTCTGCCCTCGAAATAGCCGAAAAAACAAGGCTTTCAAGTGATTTCTTTCATGTCAAACTTAAAACCCAAACCCACCGAAGACGCCCACATATTAAAAGCCGAAAAAAAACAGAAAAACAATTGCGAAAGTCCACGATAACCCCCTCACAAAAAGGCATTACTTCAAGAGCAGACCAATACCATATTCAGCTATTCAGTTAATTAAAAGAAAGTTGGACTTTGTGGGGGCGCCGATGGTTACATGTTGTATTTAATGGAACCATTTGAGAGCTTAAGCAAGTGTTTGACTTGCAGCCCGTCACTTTGAACCGCCCCAATTGCCAAGTTATATGTGCGATATAAGATATATATAAAAATATACCCCTCTATAAAGTCGAGTATCAAGTGTCACGCGAGTGTGTTCGAGGTTCACGAGTCAAAGGGTCACTTTCTACCATTAAATTAAGACCCCTGGTTTTTTCTGTTTTTAACGGAAAGTGAAAAACAATCTACATATATGGAATACTTGATAAATTGTCACGAAAATCGCACGTGTGCGATATCAGCGAATGGCGCCGGCTGTTTTATTTTTTATATATTTCATGGAGTAACAGAAACAGACCCAGAAACATTACCATTAACCAGACCCAAAGCCAAAAACCAGACGCAGTCGAAAAACCCAGACCGGATCACTGGACTGTGAAATGCAATGGGTGAAAAAAATGGGCAGAAAAAACTGCAAGAAACCGACTTTAAGCCGGAAAATGGTAACTGTTAATGGTGGCATGAAATCGCAACGTGATTCCAAATTGAGGGTGATTTTTTGGCAATAACTTTTCAAGAGTTGCGGCAGGGTGCACTTGATTTAATGAAATTGTACACGCACAAGTTCTTAAATTATTGCTAGAATATTAAGAAAAATATATTAACTATAGAAAACTTAAATTGCAATATAGCAATAATATTTTTTAGGGTTTTTCAATTTATGAAAAAAATAAATAATTTTTCCCAGGCCAATTAACTTTATGATTTGAGTAATAACTGTACAAATATAGAAATTCCGCACTATTTTACGTTCATAATCAGTCACGTAGCTTACAAAAATAGAGAACAAAAAATAAAATCATAATTTTCAATAATTACGAAACCAATGATGGATGATGTGCCTACACGAGCCCCAAGAAAAAAAAAACGAAAAAAGAAAAACACTTGCCACAGCCAACAATAATTCCCTTATCGCGAATAAAAACTAAAACAATTCAATTTCGGTTAATGATTGGAATAGATGGGAATGGGTTTGTAGCACATTATCGCTAAGCAAACACAATATTTATACAATACATAGATGGAACATAAAAAGGAATCAGGAAAAAAGGGGATCTCCAATTCCCAAGAATCCAATCGGCCTACGATAAGCGTTCGTGCAAGTGTACCCATACATAATCGAGTATGTATGGTAATATATATCAGTTATTTTACCCTTAGGAATTCTAGAAAATTTCATGGCAAACACTGATAACGCTGGCACTTAACTGTGCCAAAAGAGGGCGGGGATTGTTCACGAATATTATAGAAATAACTCAAAGATCTTACCACTTTTGGCAACGGCGACAGCGGCATATTGAACAAGTACTCATCATTGAAGATGTTGTAATTGTCCAGCGTCATCTTGTCGTAGATCAGTAGTTCCTCCGTTTTGATTTGTTTTTAAATACAAGAGGTGGATTTAAATATAATTTTTGTTTTACTTTATGGCCGCACAAAGTCTGTTTTGTGAGTCAAGCGATTTCTGGCGAAATTCGCCTTTGTGTTTTGCACACACGCCGAATGTATAAATCTATCTGTCGAAAATGTATCTGTATCTGTAGTTTCCGAGTGGCGCGCGATCGTGCGAATTGTTTTTAATATTTCCTAGAATTCTCGTTCTGTTTGTGTTTAATTTCAGGCACCGCACATGCTGAGAGAATTGTTGCTATATATTTTTCGCACACACTTTTTCTTTTTTTTTTGCCTTTTTTCACGTAATTTTCACGACTTATTTTCTTCTTATTAGTGGTGAATGGAACTTCACTCTATATCACCGAAGCGTCAGGCTCGGCCAACTTGTTTAGACTAAATGCGTCATCGGCGAAGGTTCGCTTTTTATACGAAAAACCCGAGCCAACTGAATTGAGCATTTTTATCGGCACTCTCGGAGTGAAATAAATTCAGCGGGCTCTTTCGCTCTTTGAGTTAAAAGCTTGGCGACTCTGGCATTTCCTGAGCGAAATACAAGTAATATATAGCTATATAGCAATACATACATCTGGGGTTTAACCCGCTGCTCTATAGCTTTTGGATATTTCTTACATTAATTTTGAGTTGCTTTTTTTGGGGGGCTCTCACGTGCCCAGTTTTTCTTTGACTACGCTTTTTGTTTACCCGATTCTTGGGCCCCCGATTGCCGCTTTATCTTATCGCAGCGGCGAGACAATTTAGTTATGACATAAGCAACTAAATTTAAAGCGCCCGGTAAACCCCACCAAGCCCCATATCCCCACCAAAAATAAAGAAAATAAGAAAAAAACTGCAGCCCCACCATTAAATGAATGGTGCGCCTTTGTGGCTTCAACTCTTATCGGGGAATAGCTTTTCGAAATGGGTCGCCATAGTCGCCGGCGGAGGCTCAGGTGGCTCTATTCTCCATTTTCCACACTCTTCGGTTGCAGGTGTTATTTCTAGGCATTTATCTATTGATATGCCAGCTTTCAATAAATATTGATGGGGCCGATCGGCCATGTAAAATACGAACGACAAAAAAAAAAGGCCACGCTGACCTTGCGTCGCCACTTACATGAGAAACTGAAACCGAAAACCCCTTTTTGTGAAAAAGAGGGGAAAGGGGGTTGGTTCAGCCAGAAGTGGGTCATGTGACACTGGACATTTGTGGCAAAACTATTGGCTATATGGCCATTTGCTCCGTGTGGCTCTGCTCTACTTACCTGCAACGAGAGTAGAAAATTCACAGTCAATTAGTTTTCAGGATCGAACTGTCTACGAGCTAATTTATAACCGTACTGACTGACCCAAATCGATAGGAGAATACTACAACTCAAGTCTGGCTTGATAACAGCACCTTATCACTATGATTCAGAAGGATCCATTTTAATAAAACTTATTTTAGAGCTAATCGCTGTGATTCAAATTTTTGGAAAAACAAATTGTTCATACTAAGTTTATAAAAATGTTTGAAATGTCTGGTTTTGAAATGCAACTTTTGATAGAACACTTTAATCATTATGATTCAGTAGCATAACAAACAAAAAATGTTTTCTGAGATTTTTGATGAGTTGACTTGTGGTTAGAATGCTTCACGTAAATATTGCTTATAATCCTTTAAAAATTTGCAAAAAATTTATTATTTCTTCTTAGTCATAGCAATTAAAAAAAATAGAAAACCGATTTTAGTAAATATTTTTAAATTACAAATATATTTATTTTTAAGAATTTGGTGTCCTAATTTTTTTCCTTTAAGAAATTTTGTCTAAAAAAGTACTTAGTTTCCGGAAATAATTTTTATTGAATAAAATGGTATATTTATAATTAGATGAGCATTTTTAGCGGTTGCTGGGTTGGCCCTATTTTTTATGAGAGCACTATATCGAATTCCGGAAGGGAGGAAAATCTTAGAGCTCTTGCCAAAAAAACCAGTAGCATCCGCAGGAAATATTTTAAATTCTTCTTTTGACGTCACAAAATAGCCGAAGTGATAAGATGAAGTCGCGGCACTGACGGTTCCACTTCCAGTTCCAGATAACCCGGCATTCGGAAGCCGGATACTATAGTATTTTTTTTACGCCCAGTAACACGTACATAAAACTCATATAATTCCGTGTGATCCTGCACCTTTTGCACAGGAAATCGAACCTTAGATTTCCCCATAATTTGGCAGACATAACAACTCAAATAATGAATAATGAGCGATTCTGCCGAATACACTGTGCATTTTGATAAGCCTCTTTATCTAACAAGGCGTTTACATCAGGGGTTTAAAATAAAGTTATCATTGCGTAGCGTATTGTTTTCCTTTTCGCAGATAAGCGAAAATCCATGGAAATACGATAGCGTTTGCAGTTCCGTAGAGTGATCAAAACTTCCGGTGATGATGGGGGTCTGGGGTCCGACTGCCGAGTCCACTGTGTCGTAGGCTTCATCGAGATAAGATTGAACAATGGACGGACCCGACGGACCCACAAAGAAATCAAATCTACCCGATGACAAATACCTGGAACCCAGGCCAGAACCCGTCCATATATGGGCTCTCTATATCTGGCATTACCAATGTTTATGGTGTAAACAGTACCCCAAGTTTGCAATTGCGTTGTGATTACGTTTTTATAACTTTCGAAGAGCTTATTTGCTCCAATTACGAGGAAAGTTGACGGTTTTATGGGGGAATAATCATGGGTTTTTGAAGTGATGTTAGATTAGTGGAGTCTAAATATATATGTGATCAAGTACTTTCTAGAAATATATAATTTAAAATATTTTTTAAAATATTTAAAGCATTCCACCAAGTGAAAGATCTTCAAACAATAAGCATATATTAAAAGTTAATATTATAAAACTATTTATTCTCATTTGGAACATATTTTTAATATTTAAAGCAAATGTTTCTGTAGTTTTTATACAAAATTCAAAGCAAATATTTTAAAATATTTTGAATCTGTATGCTCATTTGCTAGGAGGCTTTTTAACTGTTGGCGCTTTATCGTTGCATTTATTTCTAACAAGTAAACTCAATTCAGTAACATCTCCAAGAATTATATTTAAAATTCCAGTGCTTAGAATAGGAAAGAAAGATGATGACTACGATGTGTTCGCGGTTGAAGAACTGGCCGCGTCTGCTAAATCTCTTCGTCCGCCAGCTGAGGACTCCTCTGCAGATTGCCCGCCACTCCCTCCACTCGCTCCACCAGTTCGCCCACTTTGCCGGTAAGAAATCCTCGCGGGATCCCTACCTCATCACCGTGGTGCAGGGAAGATCGAAGAAGCCGCGATATCCGGGCGATCAGCGGGCCAATCAGCGTTTCGGCGAGGACAGCTGGTTCGTCAGCTCCACGCCCCACGCCGAGGTAATGGGCGTGGCCGATGGCGTGGGCGGCTGGCGGGATATGGGCGTGGATGCGGGTCGCTTTGCCAAGGAGCTGATGTCCTGCTGTTCGGGACAAACTCAAAGTTCCAGCTTTGATGGACGTAATCCCAGGGATTTACTCATCGCCGGCTACCAAGAGTTGAGCCACCGGGAACAGCCAGTGGTGGGCAGCAGCACCGCCTGTTTGGTCACCATGCATCGCAGGGACTGCACCCTTTATACCACCAATCTCGGAGACAGTGGCTTCTTGGTGGTGCGAAATGGTCAGGTGCTCCACCGATCCCAGGAGCAAACCCATGACTTTAATACCCCATATCAACTGACTGTGGCTCCGGAGGATCAGATGGACTTCTTCTACGCGGATAAACCGGAAATGGCCGTGTCCACCAGGTACTCTTTGCTGCCAGGTGATCTAGTACTCCTAGCCACCGATGGATTGTTTGATAATTTGCCCGAGAGCATTCTTCTCAAGATCTTAAATGGGTTAAAGGAGCGGAAAGAAAGAGATCTCCTGGAAGGAGCCAACCAGGTGGTGGAGAAGGCCAGAGAACTCTCCCTGAATGCCAATTTCCAATCACCCTTCGCCCTGAAAGCCAGACAATACAATGTTCCCTATTCCGGTGGCGGCAAACCCGATGACATCACCCTAATCCTGGCCAGCGTTGAGGTGCCAAATTCGTAACCACAGTCAAGAGTCAGTGTCCCGCCAGCAAATGGTGTCTACGGCAAATATTATTCCATGTCTATCAGCAGTCTGTGATAAAAAACCCAAATATACTTTGTTTATAAAGATCTGGGCCTTAGAAAAAAGTACAGAAGCCGGCAAATAATTATGAAAATATATAAAGAGAATAGAAACTGCATTTTGAAGGCCTTTTGGAATTGTGTTTTAATATTATAATATGTATATTTCTTGTTAGATAATCGTATATCACGCATACGCAGTGTTGCCTTCAACGATTTAAGCTTTAATAGATTTTTTTATTTTTATATTAATTTATTCCAAAATAATTACAATGTAATTATTTACTTCAATCAAATTAGAATTAGAAAATATGAATTTCTATATTTTGTTTTAAGACAGATGTCATGATATCATCTGAATACTAAGCAAAAATAATTACAAAGTAAAGTAATTATTCAGTTGATTAAAACTAGCAAAAGGTAACGTTACTATTGACTTATTATGTATTCAATTATTGTGAAATTCCGTCACTTAATTTTTCTACTATCTCGACCGCAGCTGTACTATATATTTGTTTATAAAGACGCCGATTCGTGTGTGCCTATATAGATGTTCGTTCATTCAGTAAACGCGATTATGAATGGACGGGCTGCAAATAAAAAAAAAACCTACAACCGATTCCACACACATCACACAACGCTGGGATGACTCATCGCCGTTTTAACCAGAATTCGTGCGTTTTGTTTTTTCTGTTTTCCATTTTGGCCCACTTGGTGGTGGTGTGGGAGAGAGGGACGTGTCGAGGCCTAGGGCATTGGAGCTCCACACTTGGCACCCACTTGCCAATATATTGCGCTCGACGAAACTCGTTTGCCACTCGGGTTTCACTCGGCGTTCTTTGAGTCACTCAACTGGGTGAGTTGAAAAGCCGCGAGAGCTCTGCAAATTAGTGCACTCAGCATAAAGAGAGGAAGCCTGGCAAAATCAGGCGATGCGAGCCGATGGCGTTGGAAATCCCAATGCAGCATTGCGAAATTCCCCCCCAGCATAAGGGGTTCGATAAAAAATGAAGAGGATACGGCTCGACCAGGGAATACCTCAGGAAAGCCAAAGAAGAAAAAGATAATTTGATAAAAAACTAATATTCGGGAAATTTTACTTTTGTGTTATAAAAGATACTACTTATAAGGACACAAGATGGCAAAAAGTTATAAAAAATTATATTTAGATTTTATAAAGCCGCTTAAATTGTTAGCTTTTATAAAATCCGTTATAATATTGTCATCGAATTTTCTAGATAATTTTTCTGGCTCTATGGATTTGTCAATTTAGTAACCCAACAAATGTAAAATCGCATTCAGGTTATGAACTATTTCTGATTTTTAAACGAACATTCCAGAGAATCTGGAAATAAATATATTTATGATTGATTGAAATTTATACAATTTCGTTTATACCCAGATAAATTTATTTTTTAACTTTATATGAGTTATGATATGACATTACAAAATTATAGGGTAAATTCTTAAAAACCTCCTAAAATTAAGCAGGTAAAAATGAATGACTTTCTGACGCTGCATTTGTCAATTCTTTGCGAACCCAAAATACCCCTATATTTCAGTTGCATTTTAAAGGAGTTGACACAATCTGGGGAGTGCTGTGTGTGGTTTCTGTTGCTCGGGCGTCAGTTCCCGATAATTTCCCTTGGCTTTATCTTTTTCCCCGCTTCGCACTTTTCAACGCCGTGGCGAATCGCTGCTGATGGTGAAGTCCCTCCGCCTTGTCCTGCCCCCCGGAATGCCAATGCCTGCGATGCTGCGCCTCTTCTCAGAATTCCACATTGGATGACGCGTCACAAAGTGCATTATTTTGGAGGCCGGGGAACACGGGCCATCGCCAGCAAAACAGGATCGTGTAAATCTTTCACTGGATAGTGCATTTTTAGCCACACTCCACTCGGTTCCAGATGTGCTCCAATTCCACTGGGCAATCCAAGCCAATTTTACACCAGTTTCCCAATCCCATTTGCCGCCATGTGCCATTTCCGCCGGCTTTTCGAAGGGAATTAGTTGTATTGTCGATGTATAACTCAATTAGGGAAATTTCAGCCTTATATTATAAGGTAGAACTCCGAGCATCGGGCAACTGGCATTTAGCATTAAGTAGTGGCGCCTCACACACATTTCACATTTCTGGTTAAACCGTCTCCATTGGGAAGTTCAACAAACCCACAAAAACAAATTAATAGACGGGCAGTAGCGGAGTCAAAAGAAATTATATGGGGTTATAGAATATAAAAAAAAATATAATATCAAAAAAACTACGAAAAACTACGTTCCCTGTTTTTATTGCATACTTTTAGACACCTTTATAAACGGCTAAAAACCCCTACTAAAAGGAAAGAAATATAAAACCCTAATTTAATCTTTTAGAAATTACTATTTAAAGCATTGCAGTTTTAATTACAATATAAAATAAGTACCTATTACAATAATCGTTCAGTTGTGTTTATTTTTTAGCTCACTTCCTTTATCAATTTCAGATGAAAGCATGACTCTTAATTTGTGCGGTGTCTATATACAAAAGATAAGCTTTATCAGTGCACTATCTATACATCGCATCGAATCAGGTTTAAATCTATATCCCCCTATAAACAGCGCTCCTGATAAACGTATTTATTTCTCTGTCTTTTGCCTCCCATGACGACCCATTTTGATTCCAAGAAAATCGAAAGCTAGTGCGAAAACACGCAACTTTTGACATTTTCCTTTTGTTGCTCCCATATTTTTCGTTGCTAGCTAATTTTGAAAACTCAAATAAGTGATGACATAATGCTGCGTTTTTCCTTGGGGAGGAAAAGTGTCGGCGGAATTGAAAAGCGATCGCTTTTCTCTTTCTCTCAACTTCTGACGTCATCGTGCAGAGCAATCGCGTTACCAAATTTGGCTCTCGTATGAAGCGAGTTCGAAAAAAACCGGCTTCTCTACTTTAAAGTTGATTTTTTGTATTTTTTTCAAAGGCCTTTGCTTATGCTAAGTTTAAGCCATTGACGTCATGAGATAATTTCATTAGCGTAGCGCCAAAATGCACAAGCTAAACGGTCTTTTAAGTGCAGATACGGGGATTTGTATTTCGTTTTTACTGGTGATTTCCCCTAATTGAAAGAGCAAATCCACGGAAAGAACAAAGAGTAGAACTTTGTAGATCTAGATAGCGCAAATAATCTTAATAAAGAGCTGATAAAATTTTTGCTAATTCACCATGTTAATACCCTTAGTGACGTTCCTTTAAAGTCTCGAAAAAAGTGCCCACAAATATTTAAGCAACCTTGAATAAACTTTAATAAATGGTTATTAGCTCAATTATCTTCAATTACTTAATAATTTGACACATAAATTTTACGAACAATCACTAACTTATTTTCAATAACCTACATCATTATTTTTCACAGAAAGTTAAGGAACAAAGCCAAAATAATCAGTCGTAGATTATTTTCCAAGTTTTCACATGAACAGTAAAACTTGTATTTACGTTTTTTATCAGTTTTGGTAAACTGTATTACAAATATTTTCCTAGAAAAATTAAAGAAGCCAAAAGTCAATCAAAGAAATCGTTTTTGGGTAACAAGTGCTTCAATGCCAATTACAAATGAACACATTCTGTTATCTATACCATCTATTTATATATCATTTTTAATCTACGAACGTGCATATAGCAACGCAATCGAATTTACAAAATCCCCTGAAATTTTCCTGGAACAATCGAAAGCCATAATAATAAAAACAAATAAAGAGACGAAAAAAACGAGTGCGAGGACAGGCAAACGCGAAATGTCGTAAAAGTTTCGCCATAAAAAAACGTAGGAGTGAATAATAAGGAGAAGAAGTCAAAGTCGAGGAACTGAAACCGAAATTACAACAACACAAGAACAATAATAATTAATTGTTTGTTGTGTTGCGAGCATTTATTTATTTATTTGCTGGCTAAGTGAACATCGCTTTGATGGCAACAAAAGCGGCGGCGGCGGAAAAAGGCATTGGCAATTTTATATTTATTTATTTTTAGTTGATGCGCACATTAAATTGGCAATTTCTGTTGGATATCTGATCGTGATTATAAAGCGCTAAAATGCGAATATAACAAACGTGTGCCTGTTGCGCACAGTTGGGGTCAAAATAAAAGTGAATTTAAGGAATGAAATATTCCAAAAAGATATGAGAATATATAATTTCTAGAAAATCTTCTAAAGAAACTTGTTGTTGTTTTAATAGTAACATACAAAATCAAAAAAATCACTAGAGTTTTAAGATCGCTTAAAAAGGTATCTGAAAGTATGCAACAATATATTTGGTTTTCATTTTGAGTTTCTCCAAAACACGATATTTAATATTTTGCCACTTATGAATCCTTATTTTCTTGACCCCAACTGTGCATACTTAAAAATCTGTAAAAAGGTTATCTCCGAGGAGAGTTCGCCGCTCGTTAGCCGATTTGCTCGTGACTTTTAATGCGTTTGCTTTTAATGCATGGAATATTTATGTAGCACGCTGCATGTTTTATGCAGCGCAATGCGAAAAAGGCAATTTGAGTTGTTCAAGTGCATAGCACCATATACAGTATAAGCATATAAGCATGCAGTGTACAGTGAACATCCCCTCGCACCAACCCCATCTTGATCGTCACATCACCATCCCCCATCCCCATCGAATCTCAAAACATTGCGACGCGTGAGTCGCTTGACATTCTAAGTGGAATACCAGCGAGCTATCAAACGGGGGACTTTAAGGGGTTAAGGGGGTTCAAAAACAGGGGTGAGCCGCAGCATCTGAGTGCCATTTGACCTTGGCATTGGATTTAATTTTATGGCAAAATCAACTGCAGCATAATTTCGAATGTCAGGCGAGAGAGAAATCGAGGGATAAGGCAAAAAGAGGAAGAGTGCCAACATATATGTCGCCTGTCAAGTCTGGGATTTGGTATTAGCCGGGGATTTGTGTGCCGAATAGAAGACAAGTCTATTTTTGAATTCTCGATTTTCCTTATAAATACTTGATGCAGTTGAAGGGGGTGTTTAAATTTGCAAACCTCAATGCAAAATACATTACTTTTATTAGTATAATTTAAAATGTCTTTAACAAGCC